ACTTGTTAATTGGAATCATTTTGTTGTTGGTGAGTCACTTGTTAGTGAATCATTTGTTGTTGGTGAGTCACTTGTTGGTGAATCATTTCTTGTTGGTGAGTCACTTGTTGTTGGTGACTCACTTGTTGGTGAATCATTTGTTGTTGATGAGTCACTTGTTGGTGAGTCACTTGTTAGTGGGTCACTTGTTGTTAGTGAATCACTTGGTGGTGAGTCACTTGCTGTTGGCGACTCACTTGTTGTTGGTGAGTCACTTGTTAGTGAGTCACTTGTTGGTGAGTCACTTGTTGGTGAGTCACTTGCTGGTGAATCACTAGTTGGTGAGTCACTTGGTGAGTCACTTGTTAGTGAGTCACTTGTTGGTGAGCCATTTCTTAGTGAGTCACTTGTTAGTGAGTCACTTGTTGATGAGTCACTTGTCAGTGAGTTACTTGTTGATGAGTCACTTGTTGGTGAGTCACTTGTTAGTGAGTCACTTGTTAGTGAGTCACTTGATGAGTCACTTGTTAGTGAGTCACTTGTTGGTGAGTCACTTGTTGTCAGTGAGTCACTATGGTCTCTCAAGGTTAATTAGTATGAATATTTTTTGTGAAGATGTTCTGTGGGTGTTGTTTGAGGCTCACCTGAAGATTAGACACCCCAGGTATTTACTGCCCTGACGCTACCTGGGGGTTAGGTTAGGTTAGGGTGTTTAGTTTTCAGGTGATCCGTTTTTGTTAGGTCACCAACCTCGTAATCTCGTCGAGATAAACCGAGAGACGAGGACTCGAGGACGATGGAACATACGTGTATGTTGAGGATAGCTCACGTCAGTCATCAGTCGTTCAGTCAGTCAGTTAATCAGCCAGTCAGCATCAGCCATCATAGAGCTGCTGACACATCTTCGATCGTCGGCCCCCTGCAAGGTGATCGATCATGACCTCCAACAATTTCTTCTGCAGTAACAAACAGCGGAGTAGATGTTTACCTGTGTGTGTGTGTGTGTGTGTGTGTGTGTGTGTGTGTGTGTGTGTGTGTGTGTGTGTGTGTGTGTGTGTGAGAGGTCTTGCGTGCTGTCTTGTCAATATCCCCCAGCAGTCAACAGAGACGCAGCCACACACGCACACAAAACACCTTCAGACGCTGTGGTTTATGTGCGTACTGATACGCCTTTATGGGCTGGTGCAGTCACAGTCACGAAGATTTAAGACCACACACACACACACACACACACACACACACACACACACTAGCAAGGTGGTGCAGCATGAATCATAATTACGAATAAATACGTAAAATAAAAAAAAAACATTATATTAAACAAAATACTAAAATGAAAATAATGAGTAAATATTTGACTCTAAAAGACAAGTTTTTTCTTATATATATTTTTAGTGGATTTCCGAGATCTACAATAAATAAAATATATACAAATAGTGTATGAAAATTTATTTGTTTTACTGTGATATATAACATGATAAATTAATGTAGTTATTTGTTATTTTAACGTTGTTGATAACATATTCAAGTCATCGAATGTTGTTTTAACTTGATTTACAACGTATTCAAGTCATGCTATTTTACCGTGATGAATTAACGAAGAAAATTCCTGTGACGATGAATACAAATTATCGAGACAGGAAAGGCTCCATTTTTGCCTCCACGACAAAGGTAAGATGATGGATGGCAGGGAAGACTGACACAGAAACATTACTGTAGTTTATTATAGTTACGTGACAGCTGATTGATGATTGGTTGTTACTGTGCATTACGTCATCGATTAAGTCACTGTGTTAAGCCAATTAAATGCCTTCCTTGATGGGATTGGTTTGATTGATGATTGGTTGATATTCTGTATTATGTCATCGATTACGTCACTGCGTTCAGCCAATTAAATGCCTTCCTTGATGGGATTGGTTTGATTGATGATTGGTTGATATTCTGTATTATGTCATCGATTACGTCACTGCGTTCAGCCAATTAAATGCCTTCCTTGATGGGATTGGTTTGATTGATGATTGGTTGTTGTTCTGTGTTACGACATCGATTACGTCACTGTTTAAGCCAATAAATTGCCTCGATGGCATTGGCTGTTGATTAAACCTTAAGTTAGGTTAGGTTAGTTGCACATAACGCACACGCACACGCACACATACACACACACACACACACACACACACACACACACATACACACACTCTTCACCAGGTTAATCATTACCCAATTAACAACAAATTTATTCACCTTGACACCAATTGGACAAACAGACACTCAACTAACCTAACTAACCCCTTCCCCTTCCTCCCTCTCCTCTCTGCCCTCCTCCTCTCTCCTATCCCCTCCTCCCCCTCCTCTCCCATCTCTCCTCCCCCCTCCTTCTCAACCTGATCATTGCATAGTTAATACCGTCATGATCGTTAATGATTGTTTTGGTGTAAATAGGATCCTGCCGACCAGGTGAGTACGGTGACCTGAAGCCTATTAGTGACACGCACCTTTACCTGTCCACCAGTCTTACCTGTCCACCAGTCTTACCTGTCCACCAGTCTTACGGGTTTTGCCACGAGATTTGAAGAATGAGGTCCCATGTTAAGTCTTGCCCTCACAAGTTGCCCTTCCATTACAGCTCTTGCCCTTCATTAACTCTTGCCCGTCCCAGGTAAGTTACTAAATAAGGAGGGTGTCGTGTTATCAAGTACATCAGGTGATACAGTTTATTTGCCACAATTATAATTATTTGTTATTATGTGTGTGTATATGAGAGGGGAGAGTGTAAAGGGGAAGAAATTAACCCCCACGACTATGAGGTGTGTGTGAGTGAGTCATGCAGAACACACACACACACACACCTACTACACACACACACACACACACACACACACACACACACACACACACACACACACACATACACACACACATACACACACACACACACACACACACACACACACACACACACACACACACTCCTCGCTACATAATTTATAGATTTTTTGTTAAGCGATGAGAGAGGAATGTTGGCTGTTGTGAGTTAAATATAGCGGCTGGTGAGGTACTTACATGTGGAGTGTGTCTTATTGGTCACGATACTACTACTACCCCTACTACTACTACTACTACTACTACTACTACTACTACTACTTTTTTTCTAACGTGGCCTCCAGCCTCCCCCAATAGCCACACCTTTGCCGCCATTTTATTACCTTAATATTAAATATCCTAATACATACTACTACTACTACTACTACTACAACTACTACTGCTGCTACTATTACTACTACTACTACTACTCTTGTATCCCCCACGTTATATTCTCATCATGCACACAACTTTTAAGTGGCTATAGCGTTAAGATCTGTATCAGTGGTTGGTGTTGGTCACTGTTAATACACCGAGACTCTTCCTTAAACAGGTATAACAACTTAATTACAGGTGTTGTGTTTATATCGTCAATATATCCAGGTATTTGGTTCTTTATCTCTGTTAAGATTCTAAATTGAGGTTAGTCTCTGTGTTTAAAGACTGACACACACACACACACACACACACACGTAAAATAAGTTAGTGTCAACTTTGTAATGTATTCAACACAGGTAATGTAATACACCTGGTGGACCGAGACTTCCTGTTATGGAGGTAAAAATAACATCACTCGTATTTGACATTTGTGTGTGTGTGTGTGTGTGTGTGTGTGTGTGTGTGTGTGTGTTTAATGATAATGATAATAATAATTAACGGTTTATTGAAAAAGTTCAGCAGTCCGAAGGCTGAAAATATACATTAGACAAAAATGACTTATTACATACAAAGACATGGGGTGGGTGGGTCGTTTAACAAAAGCTTTCATTACTGAAAGAAGAAGGACCAATGCAGTGAGCCTTCAGCCAGGAAGAAACAGTTGAGTCTTCTTGTGTTGTGTCACTGTTGCATACTTGTGACGCCTGCAGTGTTTGTGTTGCATGCAATATACAACTCTTATGGTTTAAAACTTTCTTTATATAATTGACTTTCAGGGCTACGTTTATTACAGACTTTGAGTGCGGGAGATGTATATTGCGTGCAACATAAGAGTGCAGGAGATGTATATTGCGTGCAACATAACAGTGCAGGAGATGTATATTGCGTGCAACATAACAGTGCAGGAGATGTATATTGCGTGCAACATAACAGTGCAGGAGATGTATATTGCGTGCAACATAACAGTGCAGGAGTCACCATGTATGCAGCAGTGACACAACACAATAAGACTCAACTGCAGTGAATTGTGTTACCCGTGTGTAGTGTTACAAGTATGTAACTCTGTTGTGTTACATGTAATGTTTATCAGTGTTGCAGTGTTGTATTGCGTGATATAAACTGTAACACTTACGTTAACATTTATAATTTTATTAAGAGACATGAATTCAAGGTTAAATCAATCCGTCAGTATTATGTACAAAGCTCCTGAACCCACTGTGTTGCCGGGTAATACATTTGTATAATTAACTAATCAACATCACTCACCATTAAGAATATCAAAACTTATGGATACACAGAAGTATTTATTCAACAACCACAGCACTTGAATCTCAGCCCTGCGATGTGTTCAGTGTTGCATGCCAGCGTGCAACACTGAACACACACACACAGATGATGTTACTACACTCACTTACATCACATCAACACACTTTACCGCAACTCTTAGCTCTCCCTGTTAACCCTGAGAGTGTGGCAGTGGGTGAGTCATGGGTCACGGGCTTGGCGCAGTAATGAACATACAGTACACACAGTGGGAACTGCCTACAATACTGGGTGTGAGGTGGGTCGTAGTGAAGGGTGGGCGCGGTGGGTTGAGGCAAGTCGAGGTGGGTCACATTGAAGGGTGGACAAGGTGGGACCAGGTGAGTCCAGGTGGGTTTAGGTGGGTCGAAGCTAACGTGACTGTAGTGATTGAGGTAATAGGAAGACATGACTACACTGACAGGATAACATGAGTGATATGACAGTAATGACAGGTGGGGGGTTAGGTAGAGACTCACCTTTGACGTAGGAGCAGGGGATGATCTTGGCCAGGAAGGGATGACCTTTCAGCTCGATGGCTTGAACGAGGGGGCAGTCTTTTTCTGCCTCCAGAGACCTGACCACACACACGCTGTGGAGCGAGATAAACATTGTAACAATTTTACTCAATAGCGGGTTTGTTTACTTCTCATAATAACACGTAATTATAACTGTTATTTAAATCACTCTTAAGGTGTAGTTATATTTTGTGTGTTATTTAACTTATATAACCACATAAAGTAAGTCAATCACCGATACTTAATTATTAATGTCTTAACGTCTTGAGCACGATGACTTAATTAATCGTACTCAAGCGCTTAGGTTATGTTATTGTACTGAAGAGGTAGTCATCGTTCTCATTACTCCTGACTGACGGTCCAACAATCACTACTCCTGACTGACGGCTGACACTCACTACTCCTGACTGACGGCTGACACTCACTACTCCTGACTGACGGCTGACACTCACTACTGACTGACGGCTGACACTCACTACTCCTGACTGACGGCTGACACTCACTACTCCTGACTGACGGTCTGACAATCACTACTCCTGACTGACGGCTGACACTCACTACTCCTGACTGACGGCTGACACTCACCACTGACTGACGGCTGACTACTCACTACTCCTGACTGACGGCTGACCTCACTACTCTGACTGACGGCTGACACTCACTACTCCTGACTGACGGCTGACACTCACTACTCCTGACTGACGGCTGACACTCACCACTGACTGACGGCTGACACTCACTACTCCTGACTGACGGTTGACACTCACTACTCCTGACTGACGGCTGACAATCACTACTCCTGACTGACGGCTGACACTCACTACTGACTGACGGCTGACGCTCTCTACTCCTGACACCTTATATATTCATTATCTATCTATCCAGTAACTATCCACTCCTCCCCTTCCAAGTAAATCTAAGGTGAAAGCCATCTCGTTGAATTACGTCGTTATACCTCGTTAATGACAGTCACTGCTCGTTAATGACAGTCACTGTTCTTTAATGACAGTCAATGTTCGTTAATGACAGTCAGTGCTCGTTAATGACAGTCAGTGTTCGTTAATGACAGTCACTGCTCGTTAATGACAGCCACTGCTCGTTAATGACAGTTACTGCTCGTTCATATGACTGTCATGTGAGTTTTAGTGTCAGCTTATTGACAGACAGCTCCATCTGTCATGGGTAATTTTGAAGTTCTTTAGTGAGTTTTATATCGCGTATTGTTTTATTGTTCCTTATTGTAGCTTTTAACAACCTAACCTAACCTAACACTAACCATCCTCAGTATTACAATTATCATCGATTTTTTTTCATAACTTATGACAAGAAAAAAATACGAATAAAATACGTAATATATTGACTTGCAGCACGAGTTAGTATTACAGAGTGGTTGAGAAAATATATTAAGATATATGTGGGAAATTCTTGAAGGAGTCGAGGACGAGGACAACGGGTCGATGTCCTACTCGAAGGTGCCACTTGAGGGTGAGTTATGTTCCCTTTATCATTTCCTTTAATTGTTCACAAACATTTATTATTCTGTCAGGTATAACACCCTGTCTGAGTACTTGTGTGTGTGTGTGTGTGTGTGTGTGTGTGTGTGTGTGTGTGTGTGTGTGTGTGTGTGTGACTTATGCATGTTTTCATGTTAGTTCGAACCCAGGTACTTGACATACCATGAGAAGATCTTAACACACTCATTAGCTTAACACACTCGCCACCTGAAGATATTTCTGTGTGTGAGGTCTAAGTCAGGTTCTCGTACACACTCTTAACACACACTTAACACTCTTAACACCGTCTTAACACACTCTTAACACACACTTAACACTCCTAACACAGTCTCAACACACTCTTAACACAGTCTCAACACACTCCTAACACAGTCTCAACACACTCTTAACACAGTCTCAACACACTCCTAACACAGTCTCAACACACTCTTAACACAGTCTCAACACACTCCTAACACAGTCTCAACACACTCTTAACACAGTCTCAACACACTCCTAACACAGTCTCAACACACTCAACACTCCTAACACAGTCTCAACACACTCAACACAGTCTCAACCCTAACACAGTCTCAACACACTCCTAACACAGTCTTCAACACACTCCTAACACAGTCTCAACACACTCTAACACAGCTCTCAACACACTCCTAACACAGTCTCACACACTCACACACACTCCTAACACAGTCTCAACACACTCCTAACACAGTCTCAACACACTCTAACACAGTCTCAACACACTTAACACAGTCTCAACACACTCCTAACACAGTCTCAACACACTCTTAACACACTCCTAACACAGTCTCAACACACTCTTAACACAGTCTCAACACACTCCTAACACAGTCTCAACACACTCTTAACACAGTCTCAACACACTCTTAACACAGTCTCAACACACTCCTAACACAGTCTTAACACACTCTTAACACAGTCTTAACACACTCCTAACACAGTCTCAACACACTCTTAACACACTCTTAACACAGTCTCAACACACTCCTAACACAGTCTTAACACACTCTTAACACAGTCTTAACACACTCCTAACACAGTCTCAACACACTCTTAACACAGTCTCAACACACTCCTAACACAGTCTCAACACACTCTTAACACACTCTTAACACAGTCTCAACACACTCCTAACACAGTCTCAACACACTCCTAACACAGTCTCAACACACTCTTAACACACTCTCAACACACTCCTAACACAGTCTCAGCACACTCTAACACACCTAACACTCCTAACACAGTCTCACAACACCACTTAACACCTCTAACACAGTCTCAACACACTAACACAGTCTCAACACACTCTAACACAGTCTTAACACACTCTTAACACAGTCTTAACACACTCCTAACACAGTCTCAACACACTCTTAACACACTCTTAACACAGTCTCAACACACTCCTAACACAGTCTCAACACACTCTTAACACACTCCTAACACAGTCTCAACACACTCCTAACACAGTCTCAACACACTCCTAACACAGTCTCAACACACTCTTAACACACTCCTAACACAGTCTCAGCACACTCTTAACACACACTTAACACTCCTAACACAGTCTCAACACACTCTTAACACACTCTCAACACACTCCTAACACAGTCTCAACACACTCTTAACACACACTTAACACTCCTAACACAGTCTCAACACACTCTTAACATACTCAAAAATTAATTAGTCAGACTTACCAGAGAAGAAGGACGGCAGCACTAAGGTGACGGGTCATCCCTCGCCTGTGTGAACGAGGGCGTGTCGTGGGCGTGGTTGTGACGATGGGCGTGACGTGGGCGTGGCGTGGGAGTCACTGTGGGCGGTCCGTTTGTTTCAGCTTACGACCCTTCCAGTCTTCTACCATGATGTCCTGTGTGAGAGATGACCTGGTATTAGTGTGTGTGTGTGTGTGTACCTGTATATGGTTGCGTACACCTAATTGATTTCTCGTCAGCAGGTAAACAGTATTGAGAGTTTGGGTCTTTAAATCACACTGGCTGGGCTGTAACTTTACTTAACAAGATATAAAGAATTATCCTGACAACAACTTTACTTAGATGGTTTACAGTGTGTTACTCTGACAGGAACTTTGCCACAAATCAGAGAAATATGCGTCGATCAAACATCAAAGTTGAATAATAAAATAACAACTTAAGTTCACACACACACAAAAAAAAATATGATAATGACGAAGAGTAAAAAAAACAACAGCAAATAAACAGGTCATTTTTTTGGTGTTCTTTGTTTTCTTTTCCCGGTGATGAATAAAAGATGAGAGCAGCAACACGCACTACAGTCAGCCAGTGTTGCTCTTCTTGTTATTTATATGTACAGTATTCCTCTACCTCAATAACTATAAAGGTCTTTTAAATCACGTGCTCCCTTATCATTTTACTAGACAACAACTATTAAAAAGAAACGAGGAAAAAATACATCTTCCATAACGGTGCGGAATATTTCTAACCTATGAATTAATTCCGGGTTATATATTCAAGATGTCTATTATACAACACGTACATTAAGTACATGAGACGACAACAACAACTACTGAAGGTGTATTTACGTATTAATATTTTGTTGACTGACCGCTTTCTCAACATCTTGTTCACTCTGACACCTTGTTCACTCTGACACCTTGTTCACACTGACACCTTGTCCACGCTGACACCTTGTTCACTCTGACACCTTGTTCACACTGACACCTTGTCCACGCTGACACCTTGTTCACTCTGACACCTTGTCCACTGACTCTGACACCTTGTTCACTCTGACACCTTGTTCACACTGACACCTTGTCCACGCTGACACCTTGTTCACTCTGACACCTTGTCCACGCTGACACCTTGTTCACTCTGACACCTTGTTCACTCTGACACCTTGTCCACGCTGACACCTTGTCCACGCTGACACCTTGTTCACTCTGACACCTTGTCCACGCTGACACCTTTCCACGCTGACACCTTGTTCACACTGACACCTTGTCCACGCTGACACCTTGTTCACTCTGACACCTTGTCCACGCTGACACCTTGTTCACTCTGACACCTTGTTCACTCTGACACCTTGTCCACGCTGACACCTTGTTCACTCTGACACCTTGTCCACGCTGACACCTTGTTCACTCTGACACCTTGTTCACTCTGACACCTTGTTCACTCTGACACCTTGTTCACTCTGACACCTTGTCCACGCTGACACCTTGTTCACTCTGACACCTTGTCCACGCTGACACCTTGTTCATCTGACACCTTGTCCACGCTGACACCTTGTTCACTCTGACACCTCTTGTTCACTCTGACACCTTGTCCACGCTGACACCTTGTCCACCGCTGACACCTTGTCCACTTGACACCTTGTCCACGCTGACACCTTGTCCACGCTGACACCTTGTCCACGCTGACACCTTGTTCACTCTGACACCTTGTTCACTCTGACACCTTGTCCACGCTGACACCCTTGTCCACGCTGACACCTTGTCCACGCTGACACCTGTTCCACTCTGACACCTTGTTCACTCTGACACCTTGTCCACGCTGACACCTTGTTCACTCTGACACCTTGTTCACACTGACACTTTGATCACGCTGACAGCATAAAACAAAGCATTCTATAGTCGTCAGCACCCGCCTGAATACGGTTCCATGACAAAATCCCAACGGGATTGTCATTTGTCAACACTAACCTAACCTAACCTAAACATAAAAGTGTTTTATTTTATATTTTATATATGAGACTGGGGTTTTATCCAGTCACCCTTGAATACAACACTAGACATAAAGCTCAGTGATCATGTATTGTTGAGAGAGCTAATTCGCATGTCTACACACACACAACTACAGGCAAGGATTTAGTTAGTGTAGCATGAAACTTTATCAAGTATCGCCTGCCGTGGTCATGCCTCATACAAGAAGTTTAATTGGTTAATTCTGAAGCCTCGACCAGCACGCAGGTGGCTCTGTACACCTGCGTCTCACTCCTAACACCTGTGTCGCATTTTTAACACCTGTGATTCACTTCTAACACCTGTGTCGCACTTCTAACACCTGTGATGCATTTCTAACACCTGTGTCTCACTTCTTACATCTGTGTTTCACTCCTAACACCTGTGTCGCACTTTTAACACCTGTGATTCACTTCTAACACCTGTGTCGCACTTATAACACCTGTGATTCATTTCTAACACCTGTGTCTCACTTCTAACACCTGTGTCTCATTTCTTACATCTGTGTTTCACTCCTCACACCTGCATCTCACTCCTAACACCTGTGATTCATTTCTAACACCTGTCCTCATTTATAACACCTGTGTCTCACTTACCGCCATTTTAACACCTGTGTCATTTTACACGTGTCTTAACTAAATATTTAGTGACAGTGTTACCATATACATAATGACAGTGTTACCAAAAAGTGTACATCTTTTGACAGTGTTACCAGAAGTATATTATAAATGACAGTGTTACCAGAAGTATATCATAATGACAGTGTTACCAGAAGTATATCATAATGACAGTGTTACCAAAAGAAGTACAGTACATCTTTTTGACAGTGTTACCAGAAGTATATCATAATGACAGTGTTACCAAAAGTACAGTACATCTTTTGACAGTGTTACCAGAAGTATCATAATGATGACAGCCAAAAAAAGTACAGTACATCTTTTTGACAGTGTTACCAGAAGTATATGTAATGACAGTGTTACCAGAAGTATATATAATGACAGTGTTACCAAAAGAAGTACAGTACATCTTTTTGACAGTGTTACCAGAATATATCATAATGACAGTGTTACAGAAGTATATCTATAATGACAGTGTTACCAGAAGTATATCATAATGACAGTGTTACCAGAAGTATATCATAATGACAGTACCAGAAGTATATGTAATGACAGTGTTACCAGAAGTATATCATAATGACAGTGTTACCAAAAGAAGTACAGTACATCTTTTTGACAGTGTTACTAGAAGTATATCATAATGACAGTGTTACAGAAGTATATCATAATGACAGTGTTACCAGAAGTATATCATAATGACAGTGTTACCAAAAGAAGCAGTACATCTTTTGACAGTGTTACCAGAAGTATATCATAATGACAGTGTTACCAGAAGTATATCATAATGACAGTGTTTTCAGAAGTATATCATAATGACAGTGTTACCAGAAGTATATCATAATGACAGTGTTACCAGAAGTATATGTAATGACAGTGTTACCAGAAGTATATCATTAATGACAGTGTTACCAAAGAAGTACAGTACATCTTTTGACAGTGTTACAGAAGTATATCATAATGACAGTGTTACCAGAAGTATATCATAATGACAGTGTTACCAGAAGTATATCATAATGACAGTGTTACAAAAGAAGTACAGTACATCTTTTTGACAGTGTTACCAGAAGTATATCATAATGACAGTGTTACCAGAAGTATATCATAATGACAGTGTTACCAGAAGTATATGTAAATGACAGTGTTACCAGAAGTATATCATAATGACAGTGTTACCAGAAGTACAGTACATCTTTTGACAGTGTTACCAGAAGTATATCATAATGACAGTGTTACCAGAAGAAGTACAGTACATCTTTTTGACAGTGTTACCAGAAGTATATCATAATGACAGTGTTACCAGAAGTATATGTAATGACAGTGTTACCAGAAGAAGTACAGTACATCTTTTTGACAGTGTTACCAGAAGTATATCATAATGACAGTGTTACCAGAAGTATATGTAATGACAGTGTTACCAGAAGAAGTACAGTACATCTTTTTGACAGTGTTACCAGAAGTATATCATAATGACAGTGTTACCAGAAGTATATGTAATGACAGTGTTACCAAAAGAAGTACAGTACATCTTTTTGACAGTGTTACCAGAAGTATATCATAATGACAGTGTTACCAAAAGAAGTACAGTACATCTTTTTGACAGTGTTACCAGAAGTATATCATAATGACAGTGTTACCAGAAGTATATCATAATGACAGTGTTACCAGAAGTATATCATAATGACAGTGTTACCAGAAGTATATCAAAGACAGTGTGTACAGAAGTACAGTGACCACCAGAAGTATATCATAATGACAGTGTTACCAAAAGAAGTACAGTACATCATAATGACAGTGTTACCAAAAGAAGTACAGTACATCTTTATTATCCTCGGGGTGGGTGACAAACGTTCACACACAGGCATTAAGAGTTTTCAAGAAGCAGGTTTTCAATAGTTGCATCTCGTGAGTCATGTATGTAATGTATTGCCCTTTACTGAGAACTACCGAGCCTCTAATTGCTGCCTGTTTGCCTTTGTGAGTCTGATACAGTACTGCATATACCAAGACGTGAGCGACCAATGTTTCCTTTTAGTTTCAATGTTTCTTTTCAAACATAACAGACAGGCAGTAAACCTTTTCAAGAACGTATCCTCAGTGTGTGTGTTGTGTTGAGTTGTGTTGTGTTGAGTTGTCTTGTGCTGTGTTGTATCGTGTTGTGTTATGTTGTGCTGTGTTGTATTATATGTTGTGTTGAGTTGTGTTGTTATGTTGTGTTGTGTTGTATTATGTGTTGTGTTGAGTTGTGTTGTTATGTTGTGTTGTGTTGTATTATGTGTTGTGTTGAGTTGTGTTGTTGTGTTGTGTTGTATCGTGTTGTGTTGAGTTGTGTTGTGTTGTCTTATGTGTTGTGTTGAGTTGTGTTGTTATGTTGTGTTGTGTTGTATTATGTGTTGTGTTGAGTTGTGTTGTGTTGTTATGTTGTGCTGTGTTGTATTATGTGTTGTGATGTGTTGTGTTGTGTGTCGTTTTGTGTGTTGTATTATGTGTCGTGTTGTGTCGTCTTGTGCTGTGTTGTATCGTGTTGTGTTATGT